CTCTTTAGGCTCGGCAAATTGCCCCTCTTTGCCTTTGAAGCTTAAAACACAGGACTCCCCGCTCAGCTCTGTCCCTGCTCTTTTTCTCTCACTCACACACAACTTGTAGGAGGACCGAGTCGCATTACAGCTATTCACAATCAGGTTCTTCGGCTATTCATCCTGTCGTCATGTCTGACACAAACACACAGCGCCGAACAATGGCCCCTCTCTCCCTCTCTCTCTCTGTCTATTTCTCCACAGGCACCTCCTCCTGCTTGAACCACAGTTATTTGCACAAAGTCTCACTGCGGTCATCTGTAAGCGCACCAATACAGTCACAAATGTGAGGCAAGGAGCACAAGACTGCTGTTTGTGATATTCATGGGTGTTGGAATGTGCAGCCTACAGAGTGGCAGTGGAAATGTGTGTGTGTGTGTGTTCTGACACACAGACAATTATGTGTGTATGTGCTTAAACAGAGTGCTTGTGATGACAGACACAAAAGAAAAACACACAAGCCTCACTCTGAGCCATTAGGTTCATATTACTAATATCACACACGCGCGCACGTGTGCACACACACACACACACACACACACACACACACACACACACACACACACACATTCAAAACATTACAAAGAACAAGATGTTACTAGTAGAGAAATTACGAAGGTACATTGTGTTCACCACTTCCCTGCGAGACTTTCATAACCAATTTTGTGTCCAGAAAACAAAAGGAGGCGTCAATCGATATTCCACGTGAAATCCAGATACCGTGCAATGTATTTACAGAACTTCTAGGAAACCCGGAGCAGGAGGAGCAGGAAAGGCTCAGACAAAATCAGTCGCATGTGTGTTTTGCCAAATTTGTCCAGCTATTAGGGGAAGAAGAGAGAACTCAGAGCATGATTAAACACACAGCAGGGGTCTTTTGATGTGGATATCCGCTAATTTCAACTCCAGGGATGTTCCGAGTTTCATCTCATTAGGAAACAAAGTCCAGTTTTCCACTCACACTGATTAGGGCATGGATTGAATTAATTTGCAAATCCCGCTCAAACTTCCACAGAAATTTTTTTATAAACTTTTGATTCACTTACTACACTACCGAGAGATAAGTAATTTATTGTAGCCTCACTTGAGGGTAAAGAAAGGGCTTATTGGCTGCATTGTTATTCTTCCTATTGAAACCCTTCTTGGCAGGCAGCCACAGTAAACTCTGTTTATATACGGGATACCTGCAGAGTTAAAGCAAGTAGCTTTCAATTTATTCACTTGGTGGAGGAACGTGTCAACGCCTTTCCCAAATTATAATGATGATAACTGAATTCCTTCTGCAATACCAAGCACACGCTTGCTTTGTATACCAAACACAGACGAGGAATAACCATGATAACGCCAGTCTGGCACTAACAACCACGGCACGGCTAAATGAATTGCGTTGCCGTCATGTGTTTGGCTGATTAGATATTTGCATTAATGAGCAACTAAAAACACGTATCTAACAAAATGACCATTAAGTGTAAGTATTTGACTTCTACTCATCTTAATATTTGTGGTCAGCACACTGAACATAGAATATAAGGCATAGATAACATGAAGCACAAACAAACCTGAAATTTCCCACCAGTGAAACTCTGTGAAGCACAAAAGTTTACAGAATGGATTTGTATTTTTTGTGTCCTTCTAAAACTGACTTACATGATGAAACTCACGCACTTTACAGTGTTTGTTCCTCTGCATTTTATCTTTTGTGGAAACGTTAAATTTACATTTCAACACTGTTTTGCCCGTGGCCCCAAGACACCGATTTGTTTGTAATACAATACAGAGAGGAGACGATACCAGAGTGAGAGCTTCACAAAGACTTGGAGCGAACTCAAGCACAACTCTTTTTGCTGCCTTTAAAATAAACGTTGCGTACCAAGAATTTCCTCGACATGGCCAACAGCATTTCTGACTTTTGAGAGAATAGAGAGCCAAACTTGAGGCCATTAGCTTATCAGCTGAGTTCTTCTTCTTCTCGTGCTTTTATAAAAATATAAAGTCTGCTCCACAAAAACCCAAATGATGTGCATATGGTTAGGAAAAGGGGAGTAGGTGGTGACTGAACAGGTGATCTCTTTATTTTCCTCACCTCCTTTGAATTATACTACTTCCTAAGTTTTGCCTCAAATTGAATCATGACTGTGCTGATGATGCTCTGCTCTGTAAATACATGTTTTATATCTCGGGGTTGAATGTGTTAAAGACACAAACACCAGTAATTCCTGAATCTTTGGTGCTGACCCACAACCTACAGTACAGTTTTAGGTCTCTGCCATCTATTAATAAGAGAAAACAGTAGAGACAAAAGCAGATTTTCTGACTAAAATGATTCTGTGTTACTTTGTTGCGCCATTACTAAACATTTTGATTCAATACTTTTGGACACTGTGTGTCAAAACAAATCAAAGTTACAGTTATAGCAAATATAGGCTTAAAGAGCACAAGCTCTGCTTTAATTTGAGGGGTTGGACAACAATATCACTATACCAGTTGCAGATTAATTACAGCCATTTTTAAAAAATTCTGTATTTTCAAGTACTGACATGTACAGTACTGCGAAAAAGTCACGTGTCATTCATTTCTTCACATTTTGCTTCCACGGAGCCAGACTTTATTGTCATTTTTAAGTGATCTTGAGGAATAGCTCTCCAGGCTTTCTCAAGGTGTTTTAAAGTTTTTTCGTGGACATTTGCTGCTAATTCTTTCTCCAGGTCTTGTAACTGAACATTTCAGAGGAATTTTTATTGTCTGCTTGTTAAGACACTTAACACTGGCCAATGATGTATTCAAGCATTGAAAAGACACATAACTTAAACGTACAAAGCAGAAACTTAGAAGCAATTTTAAACTGTATCTTAAGGCACTTTGATACTAGCAGCCTGTCACAAAAACACATCATTTATTCACATTTCCTTAGTTGAAACCGTGAAAATGCCAGCAATAACATACACCTTGGGAAATTTGGCATATTGCAATGTGGTGTCTCCTTAAAAATGGATAAACCTACCTAAAGAAAATGAACAGAATCTGAAACTCATGTCCTTAAGAAATAGAAAAAAATCCAGCAAAGACATTACACGGGATCTGAGAGATGCACGTGACCTTTCAGCTGATCCATCTTCTGTTCACTGAAGCCTCATCAGAGATGGTCTCAGTGGAAGGACGGCTTTCAAGAAGACATTTCATTAAGGAAATGTCCTTCAAAAAGCCTGGAGAACTATTCCTGAAGGTTTCTTAAAGAAACCACATGAAAGCTGGACTAAGAGCATTCATGTTGAAGAATAAAGGTGGTCATACCAAATATTGACTTTGAACCCTGTCAGAACTGTGCAAACTGTTTTTCCTTATATATCCTTATATCCCTTTCACATTTTCCAAGCAAAATATAAAGAGATGAGGGATAAGTCAAGATTTTTGCACAACACTGTATTTGAACAATGTAATATTATATATCATAATATTAGTCTTCACTTTGCACACAGAGGCTGAAGTAGTAAATTATACAGAAGTTAAAATGACCACAGATATGTGCACGTAACTCGAATCTAAGGAATGACATATAGAGTCCTGATAATGCCACATAACTGTAATCCTAGATTTTATTCAGGATCTTTCTCACACCTTTTCTTCTCTGTCTTTTCTACACTGGCAAACAAATTTGAAATACCAATATATCAAAAACGATTTGACTGATTTACATACAGTGTGCATACCTGGCAGTCTGTCTGAGCTTCATGCGACGCTAATCATCTATCTGGAATATTTCATGCTGTCCCTTAAATCTTTCTGTCTCTGTCTGTGTATCTGTTACAGTCCCAGAGGCGACATCTCAAAGATGTAATCACAGCCTGAGTGCCATTAGCCTGAAGATCTCCCTCTTGTAGAGAGAGGCTCCAGAAAATGACTAAAGATCAGCAGATAACTCAGTGAACACATCATCTGTGCACACACTGACACAAACTCACACTGATTGACAAGTGTGCTCAGCAGGGTTTTAGAAACCTGATGTCAGCCTGACAGGGCATTTGAGACTGTAACTATAAATGCTTTCCAGTGTTGAAACAGAGGGATAGAGCAGCGTGCTCTGCAGACAACTAGAGCTCAAACTAAGGTAAGACATTTTTTTTGTGTATTGTAAAGGTTAGCTTTCTAATCAACAAAAACACAGATTTAGTATTTGTGGCTTGTTAATGTGTGACTAATAACAAAAGTGGATATAACAAAAGTCCTTTTCAACAAAAAGTATGTTGCAGAAGAAGCAGATTAAGTGCTTTGCATCCTTTAAGTCAACGGTTAGCATCTGTCTTTGTTCAAACCTTACATTTCAGCGTTTCGAGCGACTTTCTGTGTCATCGAGTCACAGTGAAGTGCAATAGCACCCCCTGTGACTCAAAAAGTGAACTTTTTCTCGCTCTAGCACCGCTTACTCTGGGATCAAGTAAGAAACTCTTTTCCCTTTTTCCAGCCTGCCCTCATCTGCCTGGTTTACCACATGGAAAATTTTTTTTTTTTTAAAACAAAACAAGAAAAAACTCTCTTCTCTTCTTTTCTCTTCAGCAGTGCATGATCTAAAGCCTTATTATAACCTCAAATTGGCCCTAAAGACTTTTTTACAAAACTGTGGAGTCTCTAATGTCTTACACTGAAAAGCAGTGGTCAGGAGACAGACATTGGACACACTGTCTTGTCATGTGTAGGGGTGTGAGATTCTGATTTCTTGCCTCCTGACTGAACTTTACACTAGTTTAAACTGTTGTTATTATGTGACACTGTGGCATTTTTAAGACAGTTAAATATGATGTGGTGCTTTAAGGATAAGTGAAGTAACCGGTTACATCACGGTTCTCATACAAACAATTTTAAAAAATGCTTAAAGAAACATAATGGACACATGAACTGCTTCAAACTGCCAATAATACACATCTTCAGAGCAACATATAACAATTATAGTAAACTTTGATACTTACACAATGCAGCCATCTCTTTGGGCAGGTCTGCGCCAAAACGGCCAAAAAGGTGACTACTGGCCAGCAGGTCAAAGGGGGAGTGGCTACGCATGGAGTTAAAGGTGAAGGGGTACATGGCACGAGGGTAACCCGTCATGTGACGCACTTGGTGCTCTCTGTTGGCCGCCATCGTGACAAGTACAGTGGTGGTTTAGATGACGTTTCTCAGAATTTTTATGCCGTTTCTTCTTCCTCGTCAGGAGCCTCTGCTGAGCTTGAAACAGACTAGTGCCATTCAGCCCCTCAAAGCTGCGGGCCCGTCTGCACTCACAGAGAGGTAAGAGGGATGAAAGCAAGCAACCAAAACCTGGCCGGGTCCAGACTCTGTAGAGAAGGAGAGAAGAGAAGAAAGAATGGCTAAATATGCCTATTAACTTTAAACTCACCTAAAGTTTTAACAATCCCATCAATTCATTCAAAAATCTTTAACTTTGAGCACAAACCTGAGATACCTAAAAAAGCAAACTCCAACCACGAAGCCAAATTAGAGAAAGACGTAGAAAAGGAAACAGAAGTGTCGAAGAAGCAGTTGCGAGAGCTGAAGCAGAGGGGAGTACAAAACTTTCATCCTTCTTTTTGTCTGTCTTCCAAGTAGTGCAATAATTTTAGGCAATGCCATATGATTTAAATCAGCAGAACTGTACTATAAAGGGTCTCTCTGTTTCCCCTGCCAGCCTGACTCCTGCCAGCCTGCCCGAGAGCGGCCAGCTACAACATGGGTAAAGTTAACCCTTTACAGGAACACACACACACATGCACACACATAATTACTCATTCACATTTTAACGGAAAAAAGCAAAAGAAAGTCACTTATCCTCCACTGCCTTAAAGGTGCTCAATGAGTGCAACTTTTTTCACCTTTAACCGTCTCTCAGGATTAACACTGTGGCCCATCCAAAAAGTTAAATTAGGGCAGCCCTCATATCATCTTACTCTATGACTCCCATCCCCTTCGTGATTTCATGAGTGGGTGGAGCTTAAGTCTTTGCGGTTGGGCTGTGGTAAATACAGCTCGGCCAAAGAATGTCTTGTTGTTTTGGGCCTGCTTCAGCATGGGAATCCAACACCCAGGGTGGGTGAGAGGCACAGTGAGAGAATTATGAATTTACAAATGTCCTACACTGAACTACAACTGTATGACTAACGCTCTGATTCAGCAGATACGCACACTTAGTTCTAAGTAACAACAAAAAACAAAGAGGATGTATCAGCACTTCGTCTTCAAAAGCAAGTCATGTCTTGATCGATCTATCTGTCTGTATGTCTACAGAGAGAAAGGTGTGAACAAAAGGTGGGTCAGCTAGTGCGCTGTCATCACTAACGATGTTACTTCATGTTAAATTTGGATCAGTTTGAAAGAACGAAAATTGCAGAGTTGCGCGGTGTAAGTGGTCAAGGGGACTTCTCGGGAGCAAGCTAAAAATAGCAGCTGCCATGGAAGCTGTGCGGCACACATCTTTTGGATGTATGCTTTAATCGTTCACAGTACAAAATCCAAGGAACTCTTAAAGGTGTGGAAAGTCATATATGATCAAACTGGTCAAACCAAGTAACTGAGCTAGAAGGCTTCTCTGCCAGAGGTGGCCAGAAAACTAACGGCCTTCAGACGGCCTCTGCAGAGAAGCTGCTGGAAGGACAACCTTTTCAATTGTGCTCCATCAATCATGTCTTTATGGCAGAGAGAAGCCAGCTTGGTATTTGCTAAACAGCATTTATGAGAAAAAAAGAAAAGAAAGCGTGATGAGTGAACACTGACCTCTCTAAACACTATCTGTGTGGTCCTCACCTGGCTCATAGGTGTCAAACATATGGCCAGTGGACCAAAACTAGGTCTAATGATGCCCATTTGAAAGTTTGCAATGTGTTTTTTTATTTTATATACACTAAGAAGAATGCAACACCTATAGGCCCAGGAGCCATGATGACACAATTCTTTGGTGTTATAATAGAAGTATTTTTTAGTAATGACAGTAGTTGGACAGAAGATGGGAAAGGGGAGCGATTCTTTCCTGCTCAGGTCATCTACAGATCAAAGTGGACTGTGCGTGGTCCACCGGTGACCCCTGCCTTTTAGAGGGAAGCATGGTGGTTGTAGCATCATGCTATGAGAGGGTTATTTTCAGCAGCAGGGACATACAGAAAGACACTTGAAGAAAATCCGGTTCCAAGGTGAGACTAGGAAACAGCTCACCTTTCAGTTCAATTTCGACCCAAAGTACACAACCTCAACAACCCTGGAGTCACTTAGAGGTTGGCTGATAGTGTTTGAGTGTCCTTTAGCAGCAGCCCGGCCAAAGCACTCACTGATGCTTCCCAACCAATCTGATGGTGCCTCAGAGGATCTGGCAGGAGGAATGGAACAAACTGCCCAAATTTAGGTGCGCATAGTTTGCAGAAACCAAAAACACTCAAAAGTTGCATCCGCTGCCAAACGGGCCTCTACAAAGTATTGAATAAAGAGGTACTAAATACTTTTGTAAAAGAAACGTGAAAGGTATTAAAATTATGGTTTAACTTTGTTATTACTGATTATAGATTCACGGGAAGTGGCGGTCTGAACGATTTATCTGACAACTTTAAAAAGGGAAACACAGCGTAGTGCTACTGATTTTAATTAGTGTTACCACTAAAGTGCTTCTCACTGTCACTGACAGTAATAGGGTGGACCAACTATTCAACTAATCTACAGTGTGCGATTACTAGAGGAAAAAGTCTTTTACGTCCACTTTCTCCCACAAACGCACACATATAGTAGACGTTACACGTACACACAAAGCCACAAAGTCAGCGCAGTGAGTGTTGTTTTAAAAGTCATATTTCCCGTATTGACATATTTTCTGTAACTGCTTGGCTCTGCTGTGGTTTTTTCTTCACTGTGAGGACCAGTCAGGGAGAGTCCCTGCAACTGTTTTTCACAAAGCCGTTTCGTGTTTGACGATTAAAGAATGTCAAACACAGGTCGGACAAAGTGTGCAGGATTACACGCGCGGTGTGGAATGGCCACGTTTTGTAAAACTTATGCATACGCATGTCTCTCTGAAAGCAGGACACGGCGAGACAGTCAAGAACGGACACGCAGGCTGCCGCGGCGAGCGCGCACAGATGTTCTTTGACTTTAATCATGTTCATGGGCAAGTAATCAGTGGAAAACACACAATGTTCACACATGCCGAAGCGCCATTGAAAGCGGCAATTGACCTTGAAGAATGAAGTAGTAAATATAGGACAGAGAATCCTATCGCAGATGCAGCAACTTCGAGTTGACTCTTTAACCAATCGATTTCAAAGGGTGAAATCAGTACTATGAAAGCCAGATGTATAAAAGGATTGGGATGAAGAAGAAAAAATCAAGTGTCGAAAGCCGAGAAAAAGATGGAAAAAAGAGGGAAACAAAGGAAAAGAGGGAAGAGAGAGAGAGTGGGGGGGCATATGAGGGAGTTTCAAGCATCTGGCAGGCCATGTGTAAAAAGTGAGCAGAGTCCTGTTAATTAGAGCCATACTGCAAATGGCATTAATAACAGAATGAGCAGACTGTGGTACGGCAGTATGGGGGGGGGGGGCAGAGCGGTTGCAGAAAACATACATAAAAATAAAGAAACTACTTTATTTCCACTAATAAACTATGAAATAATGAGTGCCCAAGCCAAGGACTGGTTTCTTTCTCTCTAATGAGCGACACCCCCGCCCCCTCATTCTGCCTCCGGGGGGAATACACCTTCAGTAGACCAACAAAAGTGGCGCTGTGTCTCCGGGCCTCCTGGCCTAAACGCTGCTTTTATGAGACCTGGCTGGGTCAGGTCAAACTGGGTCATCTGGTCCTGGTCGTGCTGACACACACACACACTCACACATGTACGCACGCACACACACACATAAAACCGATGCTCTTTTTTTTCTCCCAGATTTTTGAGGATGAAAAAACAGACTGCAAAGAAAAAAAAGGATGGGGGTTTCCAGCAGTGTTATTAGCTTGTTTTCTCTTAACTTCCATCAAACCACACGTACTGGAGCCACATCATTGTCTTTGATGCAGTGTTGCAACACTTTTGTTCAGCTGTAAACAGAGGAAAGTCAAAAAAACAACTTTCTGAATAGCATGTTTTAAGCTCTTATTAGGAGCATTATCTGGATTCAGTTATCCTGGGTGTAAGTGTTACTGAACTTTATGGGTTTTTCCAACCCAATTCGGCTTGAGGTTATAGTTATGAAACCACACACACAAACGCATGCACACACACACAGACTAGCATTTGAGGAGTTGGCCTCACCAAATCTAACATGTAAGCATCATGCTATTAATGTCTCCCTTTCCCAGGATTAACTAACCAGATGCAACACTTACGCAAGCCATGCGTAGGCATGGTACTACAAATGGTTGGAGGACTTTGCCAACAAAACTTCCAATCATCTGTGAAAGGGGACCCTGTCAATACTTGTGCTCTTTTCAGTTGGCAGCATTTGAAATTTTTTATATTAAACAAGAGTTTACAAACCACCCCCAGGTTGTTTTATGGAGATCTGTGTTCCTGCAAAAACGCCTGAACAAAAGGGCAAGTGCAATATTTTCTTTGGTTTGGAAGCCACAAAACCCCATATAACAGCCACCATTTAATTAAAAGGCAAGTGGGTTCAAACTGCACCCACACTGTGTTTTAAACTACTTTTTCTATTATCCTACGCTTCTAACCAGCCTAGCCTCTGTTTTAAAGTCTCCTGAAGAAAAAAAAGAAACAAAATCAAAGTAAACAAAGCTTAATAGCAGCACTAGTGATTGGCTGTATTCAAATCTAAAAACTGAATAACTGCAGTTTTGTGGCTCAGGAGGTAGAGCAGGTCATCCACTAATTGGAAGATTGGTGGTTCAGTTCCTGGATCCTTGAGCAAGATACTGAACCTCGAGTTGCTCATTCACACTCGTGCATGTTAGACAGAAAGCATGTATGAATATGTGTGTGTGAATGGGTCAATGATACATGTTGCATAAAGTGCTTTGAGTCCTCAAGGTGAGCAGAAAGGTGCTATATAAGAACACAGAGATACAGCAGAAAGCTGTCCACACACTGACTAAACAGTCCCATTTGTCCACAAAAAAAAAACAAGAGTCATTATTTTAAGAGTTCATTTAGGCAGACAGTTTTGATAAGTTGTTTTGACAGGTGACAAATGGCCAATATACAGAATCATGCTGACAAAGGGGCATGTTTTTACAATTATCCACCTTAGCATGGAAATAAGCTCGGCTTCCACCATTGCTTTAAAAGAAAATGATTTCTTTGCCAAATTACCAAACGATTTCTTTTTCTCTGTGGCAAGGCGTTTTGTAA